CAGATGTTGTAGAGGCAGTAAATTTAAGTGAGTTTAAGAAAAAGCGTGATAAGTATATGAATGAAAAGGGCTGCCTTTAAGATTTTTATTTTATTTCATATATTTATTTATTTTTTAATCATTTTAATTTAGTTTAGAGGATGGAACAGCTGAGTTGGACTAATAGGTCCCATGTTGTCCCAAAACATTATGTTATAAAGTAGTATTATAAAAAATGTTTTTTTACAGGTAGAAATGTCAAGTTCTTCTAGAAAATTACTACTTACTGGTGCATCAGGGCTCCTAGGTAGAGCAGTTCATAAACGGTTTCTTGAAGGATCCTGGGAAGTTGTTGGTACTGCATTTTCTCGGGCTACTGATCAACTCGTAAAACTTGATTTGGCAAAACCAGAAGAAGTTGAAGATTTTGTGAAAAAGTCTAAAGTAAATAGCATAGAAAATTTTCAATATAGTTGATAAAAATATTGTTGTATTATCAAAATATTTTAGCAATATTATGATTGCTTCAGTTTTTCAAAGATGGAATTTTTCTATAGTGTTAATGTTCAATTCAGAAGCTTCTAATGCCTCTATATTTAAAAATGCTCAATAAATTATTATAACATCTTTAGGAGCTGCTACTGCCTCTATATATTTAAAAACACTAAATCAGTTATTATAGTTTAGAAGCTGATAGAGCCCCTATGTTTAAGAACACTCAATCAGTTATTATAGTGTAAAGGTGCCAATGCCTTTCTCTTTAAAAACACTCCATCAATTATTATAGTTTAGAAGCTGCTAGTGCCTCTATATAAAACACTAAATCAATTACTGTAGTGTAGAAGCTCCCAATGCCTTTCTGTTTAAAAACACTCCATCAATTATTATAGTTCAGAAGCTGCTAGTGCTTCTGTGTTTAAAAGCACTCCATCAGTTATTATAGTATAGAAGTTACTACTGTCTGTATGGTTAAAACACTCGATTAATTATTATAGTTTAGAAGTTGTTACTGTCTGTGTGTTTAAAACACTCCATTAATTATTATTGTTTAGAAGCTGCTAGTGCCTCTGTGTTTAAAAACACTCCATCAGTTATTATAGCTTCTTTGGAAGCTGTTAGTGCTTCTATGTTTATAAACACTCCATTAATTATTATAGTTTAGAAGCTGCTAATGCCTTTCTGTTTAAAAACATTCCATCAATTATTAGAGATTAGAAATGCTAGTGCCTCTCTATTTAAAAACTAATCAACTATTATAGTTTAGAAGCTGCAAGTGCCTCTGTGTTTAAATGCACTCCATTAATTATTCTTGTGTAGAAGCTGTTAGTGCCTCTGTGTTTAGAAACACTAAATCAATTTTAGAGATTATTTACAAGCTATTAGTTCCTGTGTTTAAAAACACTCCATTAATTATTATAGTGTAGAAGCCTTTGTGTTTAAAAAAACTCCATCAATTATTATAGATTCTATAGAAGCTGCTAGTGCCTCTGTGTTTAAAAACACTCCATCAATTATAAGTGTAGAAGCTGCTAGTGTCTCTCTGTTTAAAAACATGCCATCAATTATTATAGCTTAGATGCTTTTGGCATCTCTGTTTGAAACACTCCATCAATTATTAGAGATTAGAAGCTGCTAGCTCCTCTGTGTTTAAAAACACTCCATCAATTATTTTAGTGTAGAAGCTCCTAGTGCCTCTGTATTTAAAAACACTCCATCAATTATTATAGTTTAGAAGCTATTAGTGCCTCTGTGTTTAAAAACACTCCATCAGTTATTATAGTGTAGAAGCTGCCAGTGCTTTTGTGTTTAAGAACACTCCATCAATTATTATAGTTTAGAAGCTATTAGTGCCTCTGTGTTTAAAAACACTCCATCAGTTATTATAGTGTAGAAGCTGCCAGTGCTTTTGTGTTTAAGAACACTCCATCAATTATTTTAGTGTAGAAGCTCCTAGTGCCTCTGTGTTTAAAAACACTCCATCAGTTATTATAGTGTAGAAGCTGCCAGTGCTTTTGTGTTTAAGAACACTCCATCAATTATTTTAGTATAGAAGCTCCTAGTGCCTCTGTGTTTAAAAACACTGCATCAGTTATTATAGTTTAGAAGTTGCTGGTGCCCATATGTTTAAATCACTCCATTGATTATTATAATGTAGAAGGTGCTAGTGTCTCCATGTTTAAAAACATTCCATCAGTTATTAGTACTTTTTCAGTTGTTCATCTGTGCAAATCAAAGTTATTTTTAATTAAATCAGTCCATCTTTTTGACACACTTGTGTTCAGTGATGAGTAATGAGGAAGAAAGTAAATGCTAACAACTTTCTGATTTTACTTCATATGTGTAATGACATCTGTTAAAAAAAACTAAAAGCTGTGTAGTCAAGTTAAGGTAATGAAATTTTGTTTTATGAAATTGCAGCCATCTGTTCTGATTCATGCAGCAGCCCAGAGATATCCAGATCAGGTGGAGAAGAACTATGAGGACGCTTTCAAGCTGAATGTGGAATCATCAGAGTTACTTGCGAAACTTTCAGGTTCTGGTTCTCACATGCTTACACATATTACTGTTTTTGGAAATTATGACAATAAGTAGTTATATAGAAGTGTAACATATACAAAATATGATGTTTAATGAAATTTAGGGTTAGCCTTTTTTATGTTTTATGAAGTTCATCCCTTTCACAAAGACCAAATTAACAGAATATCATTTATCCCATGAATATCAACACATGAAAGCAAACAAACATAAAGATCAAAGTAACAGAATATCATTTATCCCATGAATATCAACCCATGAAAGCAAACAAACATAAAGATCAAAGTAACAGAATATCATTTATCCCATGAATATCAACCCATGAAAGCAAACA